AAATATTTCAGATGCAGCAAGGAGATGCTGGACAAATTCAACCGATGCAACAACTGAAGGACTAGTGAAGAACTGGATGAAGTATGCAGGCGACCGCTCTGGGGGGAGGAAACAAAGAGAAATATTTCAGATGCAGCAAGGAGATGCTGGACAAATTCAACCGACGCAACAACTGAAGAACTAGTGAAGAACTGGATAAAGTATGCAGGCGACCGCTCTGGAGGAAGGAAACAAAGAGAAATATTTCAGAAGCAGCAAGGAGATGCTGGACAAATTCAACCGACGCAACAACTGAAGGACTAGTGAAGAACTGGATGAAGTATGCAGGCGACCGCTCTGGAGGAAGGAAGAAATGAGAAATATTTCAGATGCAGCAAGGAGATGCTGGACAAATTCAACCGACGCAACAACTGAAGAACTAGTGAAGAACTGGATAAAGTATGCAGGCGACCGCTCTGGAGGAAGGAAACAAAGAGAAATATTTCAGAAGCAGCAAGGAGATGCTGGACAAATTCAACCGACGCAACAACTGAAGAACTAGTGAAGAACTGGATAAAGTATGCAGGCGACCGCTCTGGAGGAAGGAAACAAAGAGAAATATTTCAGAAGCAGCAAGGAGATGCTGGACAAATTCAACCGACGCAACAACTGAAGGACTAGTGAAGAACTGGATGAAGTATGCAGGCGACCGCTCTGGAGGAAGGAAGAAATGAGAAATATTTCAGATGCAGCAAGGAGATGCTGGACGAATATCACGGATGCATCCACAGAAGGGATCATAAAGAACTGGTTAAAGTATGCAGGCGACCGCTCTGGAGGGAGGAAGAAAAGAGCTCAAGAAGCTGCTCGCAGAAATGATATAAAATTGTCCGATTGTATGTCCTTGTCCAGATTGTATTTTTATTTTATGTAATACATCTAATTGTCTTTAATATAATAATTTTTTTTAAATTGAATTTTCTAATTTTTTGCTGCAGATGCCGAAATTGTATCGCCATCGGTATCGGGTGAGTCATGGCCATTGTTTTTGCATGGTTTGGGTAGTAGGAGGCACAAAGAGAGTGGGGTTGGGTTGTTAATTGATGCTCCTCCCACCATTACTAGCATTAATTACTTACCCCAATCAGGCCTTTCATGCATGCGGCGTAGCCTTTGCGAGGAGGTAAGGTTGACCATCCAACAATCTATGCATGAGCGGATTTGGAAAGGGGAGTACATGGAAATGGGGAATTTTCTAAAAGAGGGTTTTGGGGGCCCTACTTCTTCTGATTTAACCCTGGCTTTGGATCAATCCAACGGGGTTTACAGCTCCGCCCCCAAACCCGTCCGTTGGTTATCGCTCTATCGAGCAGTGGACAAGCGATATGCTTGTATATGTTTCTATATACACCGAGTGGCACATGTCAAGGTCTCGCGAACTGCTCAAATATATGTGCATAGTGAGAACTGCAGCGACGTTGAACTATAATTGGCGCGATTATAATATACAATTCCGTTTGCGCCACGCTACTCGACCGGAATCGTTGTGGGCAACTGTGGACATGGAGTTGTGGTTGCTAGTGGCAACGGCTCAGTCATTTCAGACTTTCAGACTTTTCAGGGTGACTACCATTTCGATATATTGCAAATGCCTGATATTGAGCAAATCGCTTTGTTTATATCGTACATGTCATGGCACGAAAACAGATCAGCTGTGTGCGGGCTGTGCGATAACAATACCGGAGAGTGGTTCTAACATGGGCCCTGTGCAGTGGTTGCATTGGCAGTATACACACGAATACGGTCAACACAAGGCACTGCGTTCTTTATACATTTTGATACATCTCCGCTGACTAGACATGGATTTACTCTTATTTTGCGACTTTAAATATGCAATACAGCTCTTTCCTTCAGAACAGGGGCGGCTACTTCTGCGGCTATGAGGGGATATTCTGGTGAGCAGATTCAAAATATGGTTCGCTGGACCTCCCAGTCATTTCGCCGCGGTATAAGGGTCGACCCGAAGTGATCAGGTATGATAATGAGCCACAGATGCCGAAATTGTTTGACTAAAATACATGCATTCCAATATAGTTTTGGATAACCCCACAGATTGTATTGTTTATTTTATGTAATATATCTGATTGTCTTATATAATGTTTTTTAAATTGAATTATTTTTATTTTTTGCCACAGATGCCGAAATTGTATCGCCACCAGCTGTCCAAGATTCAGATTCAGACCAACCAATTCTTTAAACTAAAATACATGCATTCCAATAATAGCCTTGGATAACCCCACAGATTGAATGTACATGTATGCATAGACGTAAACAATGTGCCTATAATATAAGGCTAGAAACTCAGGGAATGATTCTGACTGGGACAGTTTTAGGCAAATCAGAAAAGAAACTCACAAGTTGACAAAATTCACATACAGGAACCACATCCGAGATTTCTGCTTAGAATCCAAGAAACAGTTTTGGTCCTTTGTTAAAAGTCTCAGGAAAGACTCCTCTGGAGTTCTTGAATTTAAAAGAAAAGGGTGTCCTCTTATCACAGGTTAGACAGAAGGCTGAAATACTAAACAAATATTTCCATTCAGTTTTCACAACAGAAAACTTACAAACCCTACCTAATCTTCCTCAATGTTAATATCCCTGGTATAGAAAATGTAATCATACATACTTCAGGGATTGAAGAACTCTTTAAGAATTTAGATCCAAAAAAAAAGCAACCGGGGTTGACGAAATTTTCCCATGTATTCTAAAAGACTTTTCTCAGGAATTAGCGCCACTTCTTGCCAAAATATTCTAAGCATTTCTTGGATACAGGAAATTTACCAGAAGAGTGACGTAAAGCAAACATCACACCTATCCACAAAAGGGTGATCGAACTAAACCCAGAAAACTATAGACCAATATCTCTCACTTCTGTATGCTGTAAATTATTAGAACATGTTGTACACTCTTATATAATGAATCATCTTGAGTCGTACAACGTACTCAGTAAATGCCAACTTGGATTAGGAAAGGTCATTCCTGTGAATCACAACTAATTCAAACCATGCATGACCTTACTCTTTCTGTTGACAAACGGACTCAGACCGACATTATTGTTACTCATTCCAAGTTTGTAGATGTGTTAACAATATATAAGTTGACAAAATGTATCAGCATCTCTGAAAAGCCTAAGCAACAAAACTGTTTTGTTTTTTATGAATACTTGTTTTGATGAATTGCCTAGTTCAATTGCCTAGTTCTTGATTCGCAAATGGTTGGTTTACACTTGGAATATTAAACGTTGGTCCTACGTCGTGGAGACGTCGGCACATGTTGGAAAAGGGGTTGGCATAAAGTTGGTCCAATGTCAGGGATATGTCGGCACAGAAAAAAGCCAGAAAAAACTGAGAAGATGGTATAAAGGATTTTGTTTTGCAGTCAAAATAAAAAATAAATTATAAGAAATCCATGACATCAGATTACTTCCACTATTGTTCCAGGTCTAAAGTGTTTTGCAAAACAGATGTTAGCATTATTCTAGGATTCAAACAACCTGTAAAACTACATTTGAACAATTTCACATTTACGAATTGCAAACTCGTGTGCAAAATTTGGAGGTGCCACTAATATCTATCTTTTTTTAAATTTTTTTCGGTGGCCTTGGCTTAAATCATGTTTGTATTACAAAGCACCTTTCATTTAAATTTGTATATTGTAGATACCGATTCAGTAAAGAGACTGCAGCCTATTTGATTGAGGTACTAGCAGATGATTTAAAGATACCAACTTCGAGAAATAATCCCCTTCCAGTAAATCTCCAAGTCCTAACAACCCTGCATTCCTACGCCGTCGGTAACTTCTTTTCATATCTTTTTTTACCATCATGCAGGGTTGTAGCAAGTGCAAACAAAATGATCTCATTTACTGGAATATTCTGATTATGATGATTCTGCGTGATCCTCATGTTTTATCAACTTACTAAATACTTAAGAATCACGACTACTGTAAAAAAGAAAAGAAAAGAACGTTGTTTGCAGGTGTATTCGCCGTTAGCTTTTCCAGATCGTAGAACCCTGGGTACAGCTACATGTAGGTACATGCACTTAAAGCCAAATAACAGTATTTGGATAGTTACAGAAAACATGGCCAAATTAATTGATCAATACTGTCGACATAGTATAAAAAAGGGTAAACTAAAACAAAAAGATGACGTAGAGATCGCCACTAGTGGCTCAGACTATTGTCAAGACTAGGAGCAGTATCACCATAACAATGTGTAGATAAGAGTATAATGCATCTCTATAGAAACTTTGAAAGAGATCTGTCAAGAAATGTGGCAGTTAGAGCACACAAAAGCTCCACCAAAATATGCCCTTTGACCCTATAACAGATGGAACACAGGTGG